ATTACCAAGCAATTGATGGATGCGACAACAAAGTCGGCTAATGCGTATGCTGTCTACTCTTCGGCTGCAGGTGCTAGAAAAGCAGTCAGCACACTGAATGGAACGGAGGTTCTAGGACGACATATCAGAGTTGATAGTGTTGCTCACCCAAGCCCCACAGACCACAGACGATGCGTCTTTGTGGGGAATCTGGGGTTTGTGGATGACGAGTCGATTCTCCAAAAGACTGAGGAGGGTGAGACGGTACAGAAGAAACGAAACAAGACTCCTGCCGACGTTGAGGAAGGTCTATGGCGAACATTCGGCACCCAGGGCAAGGTCGAGAATGTCCGTGTAGTGCGCGATCCCAAGACCAGAGTAGGCAAAGGCTTTGCCTACGTGCAGTTCTACGTGAGTTCTACGCGGCGTGAACGCTATACCCCGAAGCCCCCTTTTCTAACGGATTTGTAGGATGGAAATGCTGTCGAGTCGGCATTACTCCTTGACGGGAAGAAGTTCCCTCCCATGCTCCCGCGCACTCTTCGGGTAACGAGAGCCAAGGACCCGCGCAAGACTGCCCAGGCACAGAAGCGACTCGCTGAGTCTGGCAAGGGAGCCAATGGCGACGCCAAGAACACAAAGTACAGGAAGAAGCTTACACCTCAGGAGCTCTCTATGGGCGGTCGTGCGGCCAAGCTTCTCGGCCGTTCTGGGGCTGCTGTTGAACGGAGGAAGGCACGAGTCACAGATAACAGGGATGGTGATGTTCCCTCAACTGTGCTGAAGACTCCCGAAGAGATTGTCTTCGAAGGTACAAGGGCTTCAACGAGGACCGGTGCAGCCAAGGGGAAAAGACTTTCCAAAAAATTGAGGGGCAAGAAGGGAAGCCAACCCACAGGACGGGGTGCTCGCAGAGCTGCTGAGTGGAAGAAGAAGCAGAGAGAGACCGCAGCTTAGCTGAAAACCATCGTCTCGGCACTGTAAAAGTACATATGACACTGAGTATACATAGTAATCATGCACCGTCATCACTACAACCCTCGAATAATACGTGTTGAATGTACGAGTTAATCAGCTTGAAGCTCACATTCATGGGTTACTAGGTACTAGGGAACCATGCCTCCAGCCAACCGATTACAGTATAAAACGGATATCAACATTTGTATGTGCCTGCTTGCTTTTGAAGGAAAAAATCAACTCAATGTGAACAGGAAAAAAAGATAGTTGCATATATTAGACTCGATTCCAAAAGGACATTCCTATTAGAAGGGCACCTTAAACCCAAACACTCCAGAGCAGCCCTACAGCCTCTACCAAGGTTATTTCCAATCGAAAAACCAAGAAAAGCAGGCGCATAAGAACAGTTTCTTCGTGGCATCTCCTTATCGTGCAATTTAGGGTCTCGCGATACCTCTTCAACAAGAGATTGGCCATAGCAAAAGCGAAATGCAAATAAATCGAAAGGCTGGCATCGGCAAACAGGGCTGGCGTGGGCGTTTAGTATTCAGCGTCGCCCTCCTCAGGCTCGAAACTGTCGGCAGCAACCTCCTCATAATCCTTCTCGAGGGCAGCCAGATCCTCACGGGCCTCGGTGAATTCACCTTCCTCCATACCCTCACCCACGTACCAGTGGACGAAAGCGCGCTTGCTGTGCATGAGATCAAACTTATAGTCAAGGCGAGACCAAGCCTCAGCAATGGCAGTGGTGTTGGACAGCATGGAAACAGAGCGCTCAACGGAGGCAAGGCCACCATCCTCAGCAGGGGCAGGGACAGCAACAGGCTTCTGGTAGTTGATACCCAGCTTGAATCCGGTAGGGCACCACTCGACAAGGTTGAAAGAAGACTTGGCCTTGAGGGCAGCGATGGCGACGGAGCAGTCACGAGGAACAACATCACCACGGTACAGCAGAGCAACAGCCATGTACTTTCCGTTGCGAGGGTCGCAAACAACCATCTGGTTGTTAGGCTCGAAGCCTGGCGGTGGATGTCAGCGGGTTTCATCGAGACAGGTTTCCAACTCAAGGGTTGTATGGCACTGAATAACTTACACTGGAAGGTGAGGTCATGTACCTTGAAGCTCTCGTGCTTGCTCTTGGCGGAGGAAATGACGGGGGCGTAGCTGATGAGAGGGTAGTGAATACGAGGGTAGGGGACCAAGTTGGTCTGGAACTCGTTCAAATCGACATTAAGAGCACCATCGAATCGCAGGGACGAGGTGATGGAGCTGACAACCTGAGCAATCAAGCGGTTAAGATGCTCGTATGAAGGACGAGGAATATCGAGGTTGCGACGGCAAATGTCGTAAACAGCTTCGTTGTCGACGAGGAAAGTGCAGTCGGAGTTCTCGATGGTGCTGTGAGTTGACAGAACGGCGTTGTAAGGCTCGACAACAGCAGTGGAAACGCGGGGGGCAGGGTAGACGGAGAACTCGAGCTTGGTCTTCTTCCCGTACTCGGTGGAAAGGCGCTCGAGCAGAAGAGCGCCAAAACCAGAGCCAGTGCCACCACCAAAGGAGTGGAAGATGAGGAAGCCCTGGAGGGAGTGGCAGTTGTCTGCATGAATTGACCCACATTAGACACCAGCGGTTGATGCTTAGGATCCGGCTTGAAACTCACCAGCGACGCGGCGAATGCGGTCAATAACATTGTCGACCATTTCCTTTCCAATCGTGTAGTGGCCACGAGCGTAGTTGTTGGCAGCATCTTCCTTACCGCTGATCAACATCTCAGGGTGGAAGAGCTGGCGGTAGTTACCGGTTCGGATTTCATCGATAGGCGAAGGATCAAGATCGATGAACAGCGATCGAGGAACGTGCTTGCCACCGCTCGTCTCAGTAAAAAAGGTCTCGAACGAGCCTTGGTCGCCGACATCCTTAGCATTGGGGTCGGGGCGACCATCGGGGCCAAGGCCGTGCTCCAGGAGGTAGCTAGAAGACACCCAGAGTTAGCCATGAATGCCCCGCGAGAAGGGATTGATAGGCACATTAATGAAAGTAGGAACAACATACAGCTCCCAGGCAGAGTTACCAAGCTGGGTACCAGCCTGGCCAATGTGCAGGTGAAGAATCTGAGAAATGGGCCGTCAGTATATGTGATATGGGTACGAGTGGTGGTGAGGCCCGCCGCGATAGTCTTAGGGGGCGAGACATATCGAGCAACCAAACAGCCGAGGCTCGTAAGTCCGCCAAAAACCAGCGGGGATGTCTCAAATTCTTACCTCGCCCTTCATGATGAAGAAATATCCTCGAAACCTGTCGAGAATGAAACCGGATTGGGAGGTGGAAGCGAAAACGGAGTGTAGAAGAAAGGTATGCTACGCGCAGAGCGCAAGGTGAGGAGGAGAAAGCTCCCAGATGCTTTTCTGGCGGATGGATGGTGGGCACAGCGGGGTCGACCTGGGTGGCGCCGCCGTAGAGTCTACTTCATTTTAGGCTTACTGGAAGGGGGAAGCCAGGTATCAGATACCCCTCACCGCCAATTAGCTAACGCCCACTGGCTCCTCCTAGACTTTGGGGAGGTTGTCAAACGCAGGGGGTGAACTCCACTATCATGGCCACCCCTGAGCCCACCGTAGGCGACTGCCAGGCACATTCAGCAACCGCCAGCCTTTTGGGAAAGGTACTCATGCCCCAGCTCCTAGGAAAGGGACAGAAAAAGAAAAGACATCCTTGAACGGGCAGGCTCACTAGTCCTGTGTAGACAATTACAATGCTCAGCTTGGTTATCTCTTTTTGTGCCAGCACAAGTGGCGCCATGGAGGGACAGCACATTGGGTTTGTTGGCGTCGCTTCTGCACCCGCTTCCTCACCCGACCTATCTTGATATTGGCATGGTACCTACTATGCAGTAGGTACTATTTATACATCACCGTCACTCACCTTTTTACTATTCGCGAATGCAATCATTGTTCAATTATGCTCACGATTATGCTCATGATACTATGAAATTGAGAGCGGCTGCGTATGGTCTACTTTTTGGTTAGCCCATAAATTTGGCTGCCAAACAAGGCTTCAAGCAAATATGTTGAAATAGGCCATTGCAGCCGAAGGGGCTAAATCCAGAGATACCTATTATGCAACTGTCTTCGAAGAGAATACATGATCTTGATGCTGTTGTTAAATGGAGAGGTGGACTAATAACAAAGGTCAGCAAGCATGCCATGCTACCTTCATCCATGACCATGTACGATCCAATGGTTCACACTAAAAATGAGATTAATATGGGAGCTAGGCCTAGGAGCACTCCTCTCTCAATTGCAAGGTACGTCAGCGGCACTTCGCTGAGGAGGAGTGGAACATTAAGAACCGAAGTCGGGGCTCTCCTCTCGCTGCTCGACAAAGGACATCATATTGAGCATTGCGGCTCATTAATTCTAGGAAGGATAGCCGTGCAGAATCTCATAAGGGCTATGCAGCAAGGGCCTTCCTTTATAATAATGAAGGCTTTGCGGCAGTAAACCTTGAGAGCACCAATGGCTCGTATTCGTGGCTGGTGAGATTGAGCAACGAAAGACGTATCAAACTGTTCACTTCTTATCGTGCTCATACTACAACCTGGGAGAGTATCTAGATATGGCCCAAGAAATAACAACACAAGAGCTATGTGTCTGTTCGTGAACGACGGCAATAGTCGGTTTAGCCATAAGAGAGGATCTAACCTCTGCTAAAGAGTTCATCTGCAGCGCACTTCATTTATTATCCCGATTGAAGAGAATGTGTTAACTTTGAAGAGGCCACTGAGACGATAAGATAAGAAAGTTGGCTAGCCAGATAAAGTTCGTGCGCCTTATGTAATCGTCCACCCCAGAATTGGCCTCGCCCACAACGCACACATATTGGTCAGGTGACATGAGGGGTGAAGGGCACAGAAACCCTACGTATGTGGAAAATTTGGCCCAATTCGTCAACCAGCCCCAAGCGAGTGCAATCGCCATACAAGTAACGACTCCATCACGGCCACACGATCGCTTCTGATACCCTGCGAATCGGTAGCGACTCAATAATCAATCAACACCGCGATCATGGCTGACGAATACGTACGTCCATCTCTCTCTCCCTCTCTCATTCCTGCACTCTCGACGTGCTGCCGTCCTCCCTTTTCCAGCGACACAAGACGACATAGGATTCATCCATTGGCCGAGGAAACATTTTGACTGACTCTCTACTTGTCTAGAACGCCGAGGAGGCCGCTGAGCTCAAGAAGAGAAGAGCGTTCCGCAAGTTTACCTTCCGAGGAATCGAACTTGACAAGTACGTTTTAACCAGAAACACGCCCTCCGCACACTCGCGCACATCCCACGAAAGAACAGCCCACCCCCAATCGATTCGACTTCAATGACCACCACCACCAACACGCACAAAAAGACAACAAGGGGAAAAAGAAGACTGACATTCGTTTCTTTCTAGCCTCCTCGACCTCAGCTCTGACCAGCTCCGTGATGTCGTTCACGCCCGTGCCCGCCGCAGGATCAACCGCGGCCTGAAGCGCCGCCCCATGGGCCTCATCAAGAAGCTCCGCAAGGCCAAGCAGGAGGCCAAGCCCAACGAGAAGCCCGACGCCGTCAAGACCCATCTCCGTGACATGATTGTCGTCCCCGAGATGATCGGCAGCGTCATCAGCATCTACTCCGGCAAGGAGTTCAACCAGGTGGAGATCAAGCCTGAGATGGTTGGCCACTACCTGGCTGAATTCTCTATCTCATAGTACGTCACTTCCTATTTTCGACGAGGTATTTTTTGGTGGTTGAATCCTGATATCTGACAATCTCTGCAGCAAGCCCGTCAAGCACGGCCGACCTGGTATTGGTGCCACGCACTCTTCTCGATTCATTCCTCTCAAGTAAGAAGGTTGCGGTCTTTGGGGGCTGGTTTCTGCATTCATGGACATTTACGGGCGAAAAGGACTGGTTTTGGTAGTTGGGCATGTCAAGCCGTGTTACCAAAGTTGCTGATGACAATGGGTACCATGATAGTACAAATAAAATAAGCATTGTCCGCTTTGCAAAGCAAATAACTTAAGCTCCCCAATCATCCAGAATAAACTCGCTAAATATGTACATGAATAACTGATCCAGACGCTTCACAACCTATGCTAGCCATATTGGACCTCATTGTGCCTGGTTCCCACGATCTACAGCATCATTTTCGCTCTCGAGCTCAATGTCCTTAGCATCCTGGCCAGCGGGCAGCTGTCTCTTGTGGAAGAATGCCAGCATACTCAGATAAACCCCTCTAAGGCGAGTAAATATTGCGCCACTTTCACGTGGCGTTTCTGGCGAGATGGTGTCAGTGCTCCCAGATTCATCAAGTTGCCCTGCCACGGCAGATTTGCCTTCTGGCGTTGGCACAACCATTGGGTCATGGCCTGGAGGGAAAAGCGTCGGCTCTTCCTCTCCTGAGGGCCACGCTCTCCGAGCGCTCCATCGCAAGAATCGATACCGAAGTATGGTCCAAGTTCTCCGGAATGTACCTGGTGGTTTGCACCCAGTGCAGTGGAGATTCTGCTTTCCACGGTTATAATTTACGATAACCTCCTCTCCCGCTTGAACTGGTCTAGTGGTGGTGACGGCGATGGCACCTGAATAAGAGTCCACCGTATAGTCAGCATTTGCACACTTTTCGCATGCGTGGTTGAGGTAAGAACACCATTTGTAGATGTTGGCCTTCTTCGGATCCGATTTCTGGAGGTATGCGTGCTCGCGCACGAAGCTCCTCAGCCGGCGCATGGTATAGAACCCCGGGTTTTCAGACGAGGGAAGTAACCTGAGCTTCCAAAAGAGCCTTTTCAGCCGGTTCTGCCCTTCTACGCCAATCTTCGTCCACTCGTAATACAACGATGCATCGGTGAGAGTCGCCGCCGCACAAGACATGACTGGTCTTTCGAATATCACTCTGTGCCCTTGAGGAACATTGGCCTTGGCAAAGACGCCAAGACCTCGTATGGTTCCGGTCTCAGCAACACGGAGAATGGCCTCATTTTCGAGACGATCCTCGACTTGCATTGTCTCAATTCTAGGGTTCTTGAATCAAAAGATCAAAACCTCTTGTGAGTAAATATTTTAGAGAAGGCTATTGGTTGCTCTCCGGTCGTAATGTCGGCTCAGCTCGCTTATACAGTCAGCTCAGAACCATAACATTGATCCCAATTGGACCATCATCCTTTGGAATCGGAGAATCGTGAGAATAAGCACGAATTGAGTTACTCACAAGTTGCGCTTGGGCAAGATGGCTGGGTTGAGGGGATTTTGCGACGAGACTTTAAAAAACGCTGCTCAAAATCTTCTCATACCTAGGGTTACTACACTGCTATTTTAATCACGCCAATGCGCCTGTACGTCCAGTGAAGAAGACCGACCTCTGTTCAAGAAAAAACTCTTCAGTGAGTCTATAGTAGCTCTGCTGTAGGCTCGCGAGTGAAAAAAAAATATATGCGCCAATCCGCTACTCAAGTCGTACTATCAACCGAATGGAAGATTGAAGGTGTATATCCAAGACATCGAATTTTCCGGGGACCGCACGCGACAGTGGGCAAAACGCGCAAGGCCTGCAAAATAACAAAATAACTCACATACGAACAGGAAAGTAACTCCCAATCGTTAGAAAAAAATAGATAGGGCAAGGGGAGAGGAGGAGGCCACGGCAAACACGGCAGATTTCCACTATTAATTGCGTTCAGGCCCGTCCAAGCAAGCTCTCTCTGCCCCTTCCGCCTCTTTGCCAGTCGCCGGCCGGGGCAGCAACCATGAGCAGAAACCGCCTGCTTATTCCTGGTTCTCAGTGGCTGCCTACCTGTTTTCACTGCAGGGATGGTAAGACTGAAAGTCAATAAATGAACCAAGAGGCTAAAATAGAATCGGTGGCCAGGTTTTGGGTAACAAACACGCAATGGTCAGGTGACGATAATGATATCTGCGCCCAACCTGGAAAGTGGCCCTCAGTAGCCGAAATGTGCCCGATACATCGGATTCGACCAAATTGGTTGGTCGCCCTCATGAATCGACAGCCATGCAGATTAGGGAAATACGACGCCATGGATGAACAGTGAAGGTATTCTTTAACAAAGGAGATGAATTCCTCTTCTTTTGAGTGAACGTCAGTCTCCTAGTAGCCAGTTGGTTTTATATATACACGCATGGTCTATTCCTCCTTGCTCTGTGCCAATGCCAGAGCCTTGACTTTCTGTTCCTCCTCTTTCAGGTGCTCTTGTCTCATGTGTTCCACAACCTTCTCCAGGTTGATAAGCTGGCCAGCTCGGATGTTCCTTGCGCCATGGGATTGGAGAGCCCTGGTAAAAAAAGATCACAGCGTTAGTCTCTAAAAGAAGCTCAGAACCTGGGGCTCGGTCGACATACTCGGGGTAGGCCACTTCAACATGACGGTTTCCAGGACCACCGTACTGGAAAAGGTTTCGGTCGAAGCCAGCCTGGCGAGCGGCGTCGCTGTGAGCCTGGTTGATGGCCTCCCAGTCCTCGTTTCGGGAGGTGTATTTGTTGATGAGGTTGTGGATGGCCGAGTTCTCACCCTCGCTAGGGGAAAGCGAATAAACCAGTGCTCCAGCGAAGAAGACTCCGACAGTAGCGATGGATCCGGTCTGTAGAGTTGTGTTAGCAATGCGATGGCCTCGTCGCGCGCTCACGAGGGTTTTAAGCGATTCGTACCCCGAAGGACTCGTTGACGGTGTGCGGAGCGTGGTGGCCGTGGTGGGCGTCGGAGGCGTAGTTTCGCGATACCCGAGGCAGCTGGCGAGCCGCCTGGCTCACCCGTTGTCGTGCGGCGAACATTCTGGGCGGGCTGACGTCGTCAATTGGGTCGGTTCGTCAATTGAAGCTGGTGTTTCTCCATAGCCGATCGCCGACCTGAGGTTGTCCTTGAGAGCAAATATTATGTAAGCGAGTCCCAGCCAATCAGCGTGGTTCAATTGAACATCGGCAATTCAGGCACCGTGCCCACTCCAAGGATCATAAAGATGTCACTATAAACACTGTTTGCTCCCCAAGCTTTTCCCCTCAACCATGATGGCCAGATAGCATGCGTGGCCTGGGCTAGTGTTCCTTGATTAGCTTGACAGGCGTTATTCAACTATTCCCACTGCTTGCTAATATGATGCCATCATTACCATTTGACCTCGCTGAAGGATAACCGCCTGTGCACACCCTCTCTCATCAGCAAACGGTCCATCTCGATTGCACATCACTACCTAGGCAGTCTCATCCGGTCCATACTAAAACCTTCTTCGTTTTGAGCTAAACTATGGGAATCTACAACATGTGTCGTTTCAAGGCCCTCTTCCGGCCGCTGGCAATGTAGCATCAGCTGGCCCCTCGCGACTCAGAGAGCCGCGCAAGTAAGATGAGTGATTGATGCTATTCATTCGAACCACGTCTGCTCGCAGCTATCCGCTCGGCCTGTTCAAGCCAGAGCCCTCCTTATGAAACCTTTATGCCTCACCATAAGATAGGTAATCACGTTACCGTAATCATCGTTCAACCGTAACAGCGGGGAAACGGCAAACTCAAAAAGGTGCCGTGCCAACGGGTTTCGTTGTGCCCACCGGCATCACGTCGGGATGACCGTGCTGCTGGCCGCATGTATTCCAGCCTGGCCACGCTGACACTCCGCAGCGGCCGGTCTTGTGATCCTTTTTTTGCTCCCGTCCGCTGCGGTTCTAGAACGCCTCACTCACCAATGCTACATACACGTAATCCGACGTGGCTCTCTGTCTACCAGCCAAAGCGTGCGTTGACCAACACACTCCAGCTCCGCCGAGCCACCCCGACGCTCAGTATGTAAGTCGGTCTCTTCTTTGATCCCTAGTGGGGGAGGGGAAGACCCTTGGAGGGTGTGACCCCAACATGTTCTGATTGGAGGCGGCGCTCCCGCCCAAGGTTGAGGCATACTAGTCCCAACGCCTGGCCTTGGCTGGTTTTGGGTACAAAGTTTCGGTTCCTTCATCTCGATGCGTAATTCTTGGCTCATCGCGTTCAAGGACATCTAGTGGGGCTGAGATGAGATATTCGCACAAAATTTGTGAGACAGTCTCATCAAAGGGATCGCTCTTGTGATTGTTTTTGTCCAGTGGGAGATGGAAACCAGGATAGTGGCAAGTAATGCTAGAGTTGCTTAGGCTTTGTCTACTTGAGCCTAGTCGTAAGTCTGTTTGTGAACAATCGAGTGTCCTCCTTTTTGCCTCCCCAAACCCTCCGTCATTGGCCAGTCACCCGGATCGCTCGTTCCGTCCGTTGGGCAAACCTTACATGTCTAAGGAGGGTGTTCTCTTACTGAGGGCGAATGTCTCAACCCAAGCGGCACTTGTGGCTTGGGCCGCATTCCCCGCCTGGTCACAGCAGCACAAGATAATATAAAGTGACACCTAGGCGCCTTGGATACACGTCCCTTCCTCTGAGGCTGGTACTGTAGACACAATGTTGCCCTTCGTGTGAGAAGTGACGACTAGATGCAAAGGTCTTCTCTCCCAACAGTAACGAACGTATCAAACGATAATTCAACATAACCTATCGCTACCACAAGCCCAACAGCCGGCTATCAGTACTCAACCTTCCCTGCCTACCATGTGCCACCGTATCATCGCCGAAAGGGTGTGCGAGGATTGCGGATCGAAGATGGGTGAAACGGTCATTGGATTCGATGCATGTTCTCGCAGGTGCTCTACCCCAAGCTATCGCCTAAGCGCCGAGCCCTTCGAACAAGTCTGTACCGAATGCGCAGCGTACTGGAGACACCGCGACTCTGACGCAGCTCTCACGAGTGGCTCTGAAGCAGATCACAGCATCTTTCCTAAGCCGTTTGCAAAGGAAGGTGGTGCACAAAGACGCAGAAAATCAAGCGCCAATTGGATCGAAGCAGCAGAAGGGTAGCAACCGGGGAGGTGAATACCAGATCCGACCTCGAACAAAGCTCGGCGTGTTTGGGGGGGTTCAAATGGGGGACAACACAAGTGGGATGGGAACACACAGAAGAATGAATTGGGGCTGAAAGGAAGAACACGGTGATCAGCATACTTATTCCCTTGTGACGGAACGAGATTGTCTTTTGATGCATAGCGTCTGCGATATTGGAAGCTCATACGTATAAACATATATACCCGGCCCTGGGGTAACTAGCGGCCAACTCAACTTGAAAATACTTGGCCTGTGACTCTTTTGAAGCTTTCTTTGAGCTTGAGTGTACCTTACTTACTAGTGACCCCTGTGTCGTACTGGAGCCCTTTGACCGGTTTTTTGTTACACGACATCCCGCAAGCCTTGTCCGAGATATGACTTGGGAACGAGCGCACCAATTCACCGCAAAGCCACTCAGGACTTGCTTATTTTTTGCCGTGGCTTGATAATGGAGGTGATACGAGCCATGCGGCTTTCTGGTTCAGCTGCCTTGCGCACATTGTTTCGCAGTCGAGGTTCTTGGTTCGCTTCTGAGTGGTCTTTGCCGGTCGGGCAAAAGAATGTTTCAAGCACGGCTTCAAAAATCGAGACTTGCCCACCAAAGGTTCTTTGTATTCCGCCCCGGTGACCTCGATTCAACGGCATTGAAATCATTAGATCGCCTTCTGCAGGTCAGTCAAGTTTGCAAACAGTCCCTGAGGTGAAACCAAAAGCATCGGCTACCCAGGGAGCAACCATCAGCCACCGCTACCAACCCCACGAACTGCAACAAGAAGACTTTTGTTTTTTGTCAAGTGTGCTTTTTGCGGCGAATCGAATCATCATACCTTTTTGGTTCATAAAACCGGTTTCTCATTCTTTACTCGGCCCAAAAGTGGCCAATGGCTCTCCAACATGCCTTCTTATCCTGGAACAACTTCGACCACGCACGACTTACTTCTCAGTGGACATTTTTAGTTCTTGACACGAATACTCCGATCGGTTATATGCTCGATGAGTTCGTCGACGCTCTTGGCTGGCACAAGACAAAATCGGATTTGCACGCCGAAGCCAATCCCAATTTCGAAGTGGACACGAAATCGAAGACCATCCGGCTGAAGCCAAACGTCCTCAATGGAGAGCTCATCATGGACAGCTGCAATAGAGCTCTTGAAGAGTTCTGTGAGATGTACCAACATCACCCCACGTTTGCAGCCGGCCTGAAGCCATGGTGTGCCCAGAAGAATCAAAGCGTCAAGCATCACCTGGAAGTACGGGATCTTGGATTCCATCCTGTTCTTGCCCCCGATAAGGAACTGAGGAGGCTTCAAGTTCCGTCTCCTGCGCGGGGAATCTTCGGAATCCTTACTGCTGGCGTTCATCTCAATGTATATAGCGTAAAGATAGAGAACGGGTTGGAGAAGATTGACCAGATTTGGGTCTCCCAGCGGTCAGACCAGGCTACTTTTCCTGGATGCTTTGACCAGGTTGTCGCTGGAGCAATGGACCCTGAGGATAACTTTGACCCCTCAGCAGCTCTCGGGCGCGAAGCTCAAGAAGAAGCTGGTTGGCAGCTAGACATCGATTGCAAGTCCATGCACCAAAAAAATAAGGTTGGTGTGATAAGCAAGGTCGGCGATGTCAAAGACAGTGGGGTGGTTTACTTCTGCACCAAGAAAGATGAGGCCGCTGGCATCAAAGAAGTAGGCCATATTGAGCCCGGTATTCGCTTTTGCTATGACCTCAAGCTCAATGCCAAGGCTACCCCGAGCCCAGCGAAAGATAACAAGGCCATTGAGAGATTCTTCTCGCGATCCGTTCACCAGGTCATCAAGTCTCTGGAGGCAAAGGAGTGGAAGTCGAGCTCTGGCCTGGTAATGATGGAATTCCTCCGCCGGCATGGCTGCATCAGCAATGAGGCATATGCGGGGAGCCAAGGAACGCATCCCCCTTTCTCCTTGCCTGAATTTTCACATTGGAAGGTAGATCGCCAGGGTAGCTGCTGGAAGCTCCAGAGATGCTAGTATGATTGGCATGATTGAAATGCAACAGTGTTGAGAAGATTTCGGCCCATCTCTGGCACGGTGACTATGTTCTTCAGATTGAGAAACCAGATAACATGCCTACCTAGGTATGCCAGGCACCCTATGATTTAAGGAGCTGGACGAGGGTGAAGAGCGAGGGCAAGCTTCAATAGGACGCTGAGTAATGTACTCTGCTTCTCGTTCTCATTAGGGAATGGCCACAAGGATATCTCTCATGAAACCAAGCCAACCTTCTCTTCCATATAAAAACAAAAATACAGAAAAAAGGCACGTCGTGTGTCATCTGCGAATGGCAAGTACAAACGGGTCCGATGTACGGACTGATAGTCGATGCACTAACGGGGTTTGTACAGCTGTTTATTCTCCGAGCACACAAAGCGTAAATCAGACCCATGTGCCAAAGCGGCACTCGTGGTACCTCGTACCTCTGCTAGAAATCATTGGAATATATTCCTTTCGAAGACGATGCGAATTGGGTGCGCCTTCATCAGAACTGATGGCATAGCAGAGAAGGAAGTAGCACGCTGACTCCGCACCTGCCCTGCTCACACATGACCGTTCGGCAAGAACGGCTGGAATGGATGTGAGCAGGTACGACCTAGGCCTGAGGCTTGGGCAGTGCTAGCAATGGCATTATTGGAAGACTTAGCCCGATTCCAATATTTCAAATTCTACGTGAGATTCTGGGGGTGTTTCTCATCCTCTCCGGAGTTAAGCTACCAGACAATAATCAATTCTATGCTGCTTCGGGCCAGGGCGGATTGGTTCGCTTTGTCGCCACAATCCTTGACCGGCGCAGGGTGTTTTGCCAGTGAGGACCAGCTGTGTTGTTCAGCTGCACTTACAAGGACCATCTACATGCACAAGGCAGATTGCTTCTGCTGGCTCTTGGCTGCTTGGAGGGTGACACATTCAGGGTCTGCCAGCGACACACGCAGGCGCACACCACTCTTCTCCAAACAAGGCAGAAATAGACGCAACGAGCCGTGGTCGACTGCTAATAAGGTGTGCGGGAATAGCTTGATTTAGGTTCGTTGTTGGGCTGCGCTACATGATAGTAACGCCTGCTAGCTTATCGCGTTGGCTCAGCGAAGTGCTGATTGAAGCATCTTGGCATGGGCCATGCGGCACGTTTTGCAGCCCGGCATCAGTCTTGGCGACCCGCCAGGCAGACTGCGGGCTTCCTGGGTTCATTTCACGGGCGATCGCCAGCAAAGACGAATTTCCCAGTTAGAGCCCTGACTCGGCAGGATTTCTGGCGATACAATGTAACGCAACGCCGATCGGCTCTCCAGGCAACCCTGTCGCACACAGCACAGACACAATACGGGATACGCATGGTCCTACTCATCGGAAGCCACGACAACCGCAGTCTGTACGGACAAATAGCGCATCTCTCGCTGACAAAAGCAATGTCTCATCTCAACAGCCCAGTCCCAAAGGCATGGCTGCGCCTAATTACAATGTTCATGTTAGAGTTTCGCGACACGCGGGAGAGTCGGGTCGGGAGGTTGTTAATCAAGGGGGTTTGTGAATAGCCTCTTGTTAGCGGCCGACATAACACAGCCAACCAGGTTTACCCCCGCCATGTGTTGGTCAGCCACAACGATGCTTGGAGAGAGGAGCTCAGAGATCCAGATGGTAGAGGAGGCCGCACACACACACACCTCTCACAACCGGTCATGTCCCACCCCCGCCACTACCCCATTCTTGCCTTTTCGATGTGAAGCATGCCACAAACCCGTTGCTTCGCTCCCTCATTGTCAATTCTCTTGTTCGCGCTAACGGATGTGTGTGCTACGCTTTGCATCTGGCAGCTGGGCCAATTTGAATGACTCCGCCACCGGGCCTGCAGCTTTTCCACCGCCATGCCTCGTTGAGCAATGGTTGGACCATCTAGGACCCCGATGCATTCAGCTCTACACGCCAAGGCACTCCTCCGCGAATGGGAGCCTTTCTGCGGCGCCACTGCCAGGGATCATCGTCAATTGCTCCCCATCCCCATGGATTTGCTGGGTCCCGAACAGGTCTGCCTTAAAGGGACCCAAGGGGACATAGACCCTTGGGATTGATGCGTCGTTGCGGCTAGACTGTTGTTGGCCTGCTGTTGCTTGTGTTTGCCGTTGCCCACTCGCGCCCAGCCTGGTCCGATTTTGTCCTCCATCACACCCCTCGAATCCCCTCGGTGTCACTCCTCGTACGGTTGTCGACTGCTTGCGCAAACGACACAGCAGCTTTCGCGTCCAGGTGAAAGTGTCATAGCGACTTGCGGAAGCAACCAGACGAGCCAATCCATTACCATTCACAGTAGCAACGGCCCGGCGTGAGCGTGTAGGTGTGTAGGACGATAAAGACACAGGTCACCAACAGCTTGTGTTTCTTCCATTGGCTCGAGTAACGCCTTGCCACCATGAGCATGTCGCCTTATACTCTGTTGCTGACCTTCGGGTCACTCGCTGCCGCCGCGTTTGTGAAAGATCCTGAAATCGTCAACCCCCGCGGCCAGAAAGAATCATCATGGTCACCAGCTCGTGAGACCAGCGTCGCCGAGGTGGAAGCAAGAGCTGCTGAACAATGGTCGCCCCGCCCAACTGACGGGCCTGGCCTGGATGCAGTAGAGCTGTTCCCTCGTCTTGACGGCTATACTCTTCCCAAAGGCACCTGCGGATTTGTTTCCTCGAATGAAGGTGAGTTTCCAATCATATCCCCAGCTTCGCTCCAAGCGAGAGGGAAACAAGCCGGCGCTAGTTTTCTAAGTCTTCAATACGACTGACATGAACCTGCACAGTTGCGTACGGTTGTATCAACACCGCCGCTACTTGCACTTACTCCGATGACTACATTGGCTGCTGTGTGCCAAACCAAGATTGCTCGCGGGTTCAGACGACTTGCATCAACAGCGCTCAAGCTGCTACAGGCGCCTGCAATCTACCCAAGGACTTTCACACCCTTTGCTGGTTCGTCTCCCCTTCCCTAACGAAAGCCACGACCAGCCCCAAGTTGTTCACTCTTAGATCTTTCGGCTGATAAACGTTTCCTATGTAGCACTGCGGCAACTCTCGGACAATGTTGGACATGGATGTTCTCAACCACATCTGGTGATAATACGATGAGCTACTCATTCCTTGATTGTTCAACAAGGCAGGGCACCGGCACTCTCTTGGCCTACGACCCTACTTGGTCAAGGACGCATATTCCTTCTACCTCTACCTCCTCCTCCTCCTCCTCCTCGGCATCAAGCAGCTCCACCAGGACTTCATCAGCAGCATCTACGAGCACCTCCTCCAGCTCTGGAGGCGGTGGTGGCAGCTCGACCAATGTTGGAGCCATTGCTGGTGGAACGGTCGGTGGTGTCGCCGCTCTCGCCCTTGTTGGTGTTGCTGCATTCCTCCTCATTCGTCGACGCAAGAAGAATGGCGAGGGCTCCCCAGAAAAGAGTTCTCCTCCCGCACCATCCACCGCCCATCCTTCGACCACGATGAGCCCTCCGCCGCCCACGATTACCCCATCCAGCCCTGGAAACACAACAATTTACCCCTCAGGAGTCCCAACCAACTTTACTGGTTACTCGCCTTCACCAGGCTACGAGCAGATGAGCCCCCAAAGCACAGCGGCCTATCCGATGTACCCCAACCAGCAGCCATACGCTCCTCCTCAATTTGCTCCTGGCCAGCAGCCCCAGCAGCCATATTACCCCCAGGGCCCTTATGGATACCAGCCTCAGAACAGTCCCAGCCCCGGTGTGCCGTCCCCCAGTGCTCCTTCGCCTGGTGTTCCCTCGCCCGGTGCCGTAGGCATTGGCGCTGTAGGCGCACCTCCTGTTCCTCCCCCGCAGCATCAGCAGCATGCTACTGAGCTGCCAACCATCAACCCCATCGGTAATGAGACGAACCGCGCTGAGCTGCAATAGTTTCGGTCAAATCCTATTTGGACCAGAGACGACTCGAGCGTGAACACTTACGGGCAAGTTGTTCCTTTGAGTTGGCACCGGGATGTGCTTTTTGCGAGTAGGGGACGGCGGCGTAATCGGATTTTCTTTTCTGGACATAGATGAAAGATATATTGTACTGGTGTGGCATACGGTTTTTCTTTTCCTCTGCATATCACGAGTCTCCTCTTAGATGGAACCCTTTATTTACCTATTCTGCCGAAGTATATAGCATGGCAACCCAGGGATCCCGTCTTGAATTTATATCATCGGCTCATTATAATCAATTTATACCGTTCACTACCAAAAAAAAAGGAAAAAGTAACAATTCTGTTTGTCCTCTCATTAGTCATAACTCAGATTCTCGCACATCACCCAGAGCGAGCATCACATCACATGTCCTTGGCCACAGAGTTGGCCCACCACTCATCCCACTTCAGAACCTTGCTCTCGTGCCGGGCCTCCTCGGCCGCGAACACCATGGCATGCGCCCGGATGATCTCCTCCAGGGTGCAGCCGATGAGCTCGTTCTGCGCCGTCTCGGCCTCCCAGGCGTGGTTCTTGACCTTGTCGCACGCGAGGACGAACTGCCGGGTGAGGCCCATGTCGCCGCCGCCGTGGCCAATGTCCTCGATCTTGGGGTAGTAGCTGCGGGTCTTCTTGGTGGCGAAGTCCTCGACGGTGATCTTGAACGAGTCGGCGTAGATCTCGCCATGCTCGCCGTAGAAGTAGGAGTAGCGGTCGCACTGCTTGGTAGTCTGGGCGACCATGTGGAAGGTGGCCCGCTTGGCCGGCCGGGCGCCGTCCTCCCAGGTCATGGTGACGAACTCGTCGTCGCAGACGTTGTTGTCCGACTCGAAGACGCAGCGGCCCCACCAGTTGCGGGAGCTCACCTCGTCCGCCGGCGCGGTGGCGGCGTCGTAGTCCTCCTCCAGGAGCTTGGTGAGGGCGGCCTGCTTGTCGTGGTGGGTCGGGTAGTCCTCGATGTCGGGCATGACGACGCTCATGGGCCAGCGCGTGTTGCCGGCGCCGAGGCCGCGGAACTGGGGGCCCAGGTAGATGTGCTTGGCCGAGTACTTGCAGCCGTCGTCGCCGAGGGGGCACCGCATGCAGTTCGTGGCGGAGCTGGCGGCGGCGGGCTTGCGGCTCTTCTTGAAGTACTGCAGGCCGCCGGTGGAGGTGACGGTGGAGGGCAGATGGGGCTCACCCTGGCCAGCCTTCTCGGGGGAGCACAGGAGCCAGAGGATGAGGTCGATGTCGTGGCAGCTCTTGGTCAGCAGGGAAGGGCCGGTCGTCTTGTCGTTCCGCCAGTTGCCTCGGACGTAAGAGTGCGTGTAGTGCCACCAGCCAACGGGTTCTGTGTGGACCAGACTGTTGAGGTCGCCGATGACGCGGTCCTCGACGAGCAGCTTGCGCAGCAGGATGTTGTGAGGGCTGTATCGGAGGACGTGGCCAATGGAGAAGATCTTGGAGCTAGAGTGCTGCCTGATTGCCTTGTACATGTCCAGACAATCCTGGAGCGAACAGGCGAGGGGCTTCTCGCACATGATGTGCAGGCCCAGAGGGGCGAGGGCAACTACAACGTCACGGTGCATCTCGTCCAAGACGCAGATGAAGGCGCCGTCAACGCCCTCGGGCACATTCTCCTCTCCGGCGGCCACTCGCCGCCGGCGGTCAAACTCGTAGGTTACAAAGTCGGCCCAGTGAGAGAAAGACTGGCCTTCCTTGGGCTTCTCATTCTCCCCCCAGATGAAGTTCTTCCCGAGGCTTTCTCGCTTGTAGTCGTGTGGCTCAGCAACGGCGGCGATTAAGCCATTGCTCGCCTTTACCGCAGCCTCGGCGTAGTTGCGGCCACGAGAACCTGCGCCAATGATGATGAACCGAGGAGGGGTCTCAGACATGGGCGGCTTCTGGGGCGGCACGATGACGGGTGCTTGGTCCACGGTATCCGTCTCGGAACCTAGGACCAGAAGGTCGTCCACGCGCGTGCCTGGGTAGGCGCTCCTGATGCCATCTCGAAGAAGAACCATCTCGAATGCTTTTTGGCTTTCTCTCTCGTTTCTGGGAGGGTCAGGAGGTGGCACTGCTGGTGTATATATGTAGGATGTAGGAAGGAGGAAGGTTGAGCAGCGAAAGGGGTTTGGCTCGTCAGTAGGACAGTCAGGCGACACGAGATAGCCAGAGACTGAAGAGTGAGGGAGAGACCGACCAGCAGACCATCGAGATATACATTCCATTCATCGAACATGTCGTCCCCCCAATGGGCGGAACATTTATCTATGTACATGGATCATACCCTTGCAACGCTTCACCACCTGAGCACCAATGCCAGCCAAGGGATTGATCATCAGCAGCCCAGGGCGGGGATTTGGGGGGAGCGGTGCAGCAGTTGCAGCGGCTGTGCGGAGGCTTACTTTTAGTGTGAGTTAGTGTTGGGAGGAATGGATTGACAGGTGGCTGCCTCCAGCAGCTTTTAGTTGCTCGGGCCTGGACCCGGCACTGGGATCTCCACTGGGCATCGTTGCTGGATCCAGCCAAATCCCTGGCATGAGGCACGAAGCCAAATCAATTGAGCCTGCATATGATTAACCTGTAGGAGTCTATCAACAATCCGAGCGAGTGATCTCTTCTGCCGATTGAGATGAAGTCTATCTGTGTACAATACATTCATGTATTTTCTACCTGAGTGTACTCTCTCTACAGTATGCTTGTCTGCTGCTGCTGCTGCAAGTCTGCCTACAGGGGGCTACCTAAGCATATACACCCATTCTTATCTGCCTGGACAGGCTGCAACTTTCTTGTATCTCTACAACACACCCTTCGGTGAGATAGGCACCGAAATTATCGACTTCACATGTATATGGGATAATGGACACGGGCTCATCAAGATGGCCCAGGATACAATGAATAGCACAGCTTGCCAGGGTGCTGTAGTACATCTTGACCCTAGGACTGATTGATGCCTCCTCGAGGTACAGCTCACAAAATAGAGGGACCTGACCCTAACACCACCTCAAGTGGCAACGTTGTAGGCCACCACCAACCTCAAAAAAACCAACCTCGTTATCCATTTCCGCCCACCTGCAGCTTCACCGGCACACCCACAAGTAGCACCGCGCATCACTGCATAAACCCTCGCTTCGTATCAGCAATGGCTTCCGAGACTAGCAATGCCCCTGAGCCCCGGCGAGGCGTCACAGACGATCCTCTAGTGTGGATTGATTGTGAGGTACGAAGACCCCCATCACCATTTTTCACATGGCACTCTCTTTGCTCGATAATCACCTGATGCTTCATGGCGGCTCCCCTCTATGCCCTCAATTCCCAATTTTCAATCATCCTTCTCAACGGTTCGCCTTAACACATTTCTATGTGAAAACAAAAGAAAAGCTGAAAGCAGATCACTCATTGTGTATTTTTTTTCCTTTTCGCCATGTATATATCTATACTAAAATGAGAATTGCGCCACGCTTAGATGACTGGATTGAACCCAGACACCGAGGAGATCTTGGAGATATACTGCATTCTCACAACAGGCAACCTCGAGGTTCTAGATGATGAGGGTTTCCACGCAATCATCCACTGGCCCGCATCCCGCCTAGACCAGATGGACGAATGGTGCACCAATACCCATGGAAAGTCAGGCCTCACCGATGCAGTCATCAAGTCCACCACCACGCCCGACGAGGCAGCCACGGGCTTGTACAACTACATCACCAAATTTATCCCAGAGCCCCGCAAGGCCCTTTTGGCAGGCAATAGCATCCATGCTGATCGCATGTTCCTGCGCAAGGAACCCTATAACAAGGCTCTCGACCATCTTCACTATCGCCTGCTGGATGTCACCAGTATCAAAGAGGCAGCCCGCAGGTGGGCAGCTCCCCGTGTGACCAAGAAGGTGCCCTCTAAGAAAGGACGGCATCAGGCGCGAGACGACATCCTCGAGAGCATCGAGGAGGCCAAGTACTACCGCGAGGCTATATTTGGTCAGACGCTTGAGAAAGTAGAACGGCCCGCTCCCGCCAAGTCTCGTAAGAAGGCCAGTGCCGGGGAGCCTGGCCGACAAATGATTCCCAATTGGCATGGCAAAGTCGAGGAATCCCCTCAGCAACACTCTCGCAAGAAATCTAACGCCGACGAGCCAGGCCATTCCATCCTTGCAGGCATGAGTGCTTGGCAGGCTTCGACGAAGGGGCCTTGATTTGGTTCGATTCTGTATTCTCCGAAGGACGCCAAAGTCGGATCGCATGAAACCCACTCTTCCCCATCAAGTCAACAGAGCCCAATGTTGTCACAACTCTCCCATTGGCATATAAGCACATCATATACCGTACCAAATGAGCGTATATGTGCAAGGGGTACACAAAACGTCTATGCTCTACATACCTTACACAACTATTCACGGTTGAGCACGTCTTTAAATTCAGAACACTCTGTGCAGGGTCCAACAGATAGTTTCAGACCGGGCTCATAATAAAAACAAGTATCATTTCAAGCTCAATCAAACTCTCCACCTATTATTTCGTCGACCAAGTGATGGATACGACCCTGGCCGAGGATAGGGGAGGTTAACTGCTGCTAACACCAATAGTCTGCCACAACACATATTCGCACTGTATTTGGCTGCCGCCTGCGGAGCTGCAGGCGAAAGACACACAGTGTCCGCCTTAGTGCCAACATTGCCCCTCCACAGGTTCCCTGGCAATGTCAACACCACCCCACCATCAGATGCCACCAAATAGATCTACACAACCCACCACATGCACCAGCTGCAAGCTAGCTTGGTTCCGTCTCCTTTTGCCCCCTCACGTCATAAACTGCAATACCGTCTTCTTCTTCTGTTTCGGGGACACCTTGCAGGATATATATCTGCCACCTCAACCCCAATTCCGCCTCCCAATTCCTCTCAATCATATCTCTCCTCTTGACCCTCCCCCACCTAATTACCCCACCTCCGAACTCCAGCAGCAATGGCTGAGGTT